TTACACATATGCAGAGAAATTCACAATATACAAAGAAATCCTGAGACTCATCACAAAATAGCAAACAATTGAATTAAAAAATGGGCAAGGGACTTGAACAGATATTTTTCCAAAACAAAGATACACACATGGAGAAAAAGTACATGAAGAGATGCCTAACACCATTATTTGTTAGTGAAAGGCAGATGAAAACCCTAGTGAGGAGTCACTTTGTACTCGGAAGGAAGTGTTAGCAAGATGATGGAGAAATTGGAACCCTTGTGCATTGCTGGTGGGAATGTAAAACGGTTCAGCTGTTGTGGAAAACAGTTTGGCAATTCTTCAAAGAGTTCAACATATTGCCCCAGCAATTCCAGTCACATACACCCAAAGATGTTGAAACAGGTATTCAAACAAATCCTTGGACCTGAATGGTCACAAGAGTGATGTGACCACATAGCCAAAAGGTGAAACGATCCACATGTCCATCAAGGAATGAATGCACAAATTATGGGCTATCCATAATGCAATATTATCCAGCCTTAAAAAACAGTGAAGTGCTCACACATGCTACAGTGAGAATGAGCTTTCAAAACCTGTGCTAGGTGGTGGAAACCAGGCACACACAGTCACATACACTGGGTTGCTCTCTGTGTGTGATGTCCAGAAGGGGTAAATCATAGGGACCGAATGCAGGTTGGTGTCTGCCAGGTGGAGGGGCAGGAATGGTGAGAAACTGCTCCCTTGTAGGAGGTTTCATTTTGGAGGGTTGAAAATATTTGAGGCTTGATAGAGATGGTGGTTGCACATGTGTTAAATGCCATTGAATTATTCAGTTTAAAATGGTCAATTTTATGTTATGTGAATATCATCTCAGAAAGAATGATGGATTTTGTATAACACTCTAGTTTCTGGATTTTCTTGAACAGTCATGGCTCTGGTAACCTTGGGCCCCATTCCCACATGGGCTCTTGATGAGACTATTCTTGACCTTGCGAAGGTCTGGAGGTCTGACCCTCAAGTCAGAGGAGGGGACAGAGAGCATGTCAGCAAATTACAGCACAGCAGCCCTTCAGGGACACAGAATGGGAAACCTTTATTCATGTTCCTGATGGTGTGGCTGGCAGAGTAATGGCCCCAAAGACAGCCACACCTTACCCCAGGCCCTGAGACTGTTCCCTCCATGGAAAGGGGCTTTGCAGGTGCAATTAAGTCCTGGCTCCTGAGCTGGAGAACAGCTGGATTGCTCAGGTGGCCCAACCTAATCCGTGGCCCTGAAACCAGGATGGCCTTTCCCTGGTCATGACCAGCTGTGCTAGCTCTGCAGTTGACCCAGGATGCCCTCCGTGACCTGTGGCAGCTGACAGCTTCCTCCAAAGGCCCACAGCTAGTTCTTGGGGTCAGGCCAAGCCTGGGTTCGAGGGACTGGCACAGGACTGGCTGGGTGGACTCAGGACCTTGGCCCCGACGTGAACCTTTGCGAGGGAGCGATGTGCAGGCTGAGTGCAGGGAGGGCCCCTCAGCAGGTGTGCACAGCGCCCAGGGCCGGGGCGCCTCTTTCTCTTCTCCCTCACCCCGCACGAGGGAGGGAGTGGGCTCCAGTACCCTGGGACCTGTCCTGCCAGAGCCCAAGGGTCCTTCCTGGGACAGATCTGCTGACACCTCCTGACCGAGGGAACTCATCTCTGTCTGATGGGAGGGAATCAGGACAGTTGTCCCGGACGGCGGGCTCCTGGGGTTGGTATAGAATCACTCTGCTGTTTGGAGGCACCCCAGGGCAGAGGGAGCAGGTAGAACTTCCTGCATGACCAGAGGGACATTGCAGGAATGGGGGGCAGTCTTTGGCATGATATGAATCTCCAGTTTCCCCGTCTTCACCTATTCCTCTCCTGCTAATAAGCCTGACCTGGATGGAGGTTCAATTCCATGGACGTGTAAACGATGACTTTGCACACTACAACCCCTCACCTCAGGGGCTGCGCTTCTCCTGCTGAGTGAGCCTCTGGCAAGGCTGTCAAGGACAGGTTCTGTGGAATGTGGGTGAGGGCTTAATCCTGTCCCTTTATCATCAGTTCTTGAAGTTATGAGTGGTCCTGGGGAGCCCTGGTTTTAACACATCGACACAAAAGAACATTTTTGAGAATGTTTGGAAAGGTTTGAATGTAATCAGGGTATTAGACAGGATTAAGAAATTATTAATTTTTTTGTAAATGTGATATTGTTATTTCAGTGTCTATAGAGGAAAATGTTCCTCTTTTGCTTTACATGCAACCAAATAGAAACAAAAACTTACCACTAATTCCTCAAAAATATAATGAAAATATAAGTGCTTCAAGCAGGACAATTGCAGACATTTTATCTGCACCCACCTGGATACCCACAGGCACCGTCCCACAGGATAGTGGGTGGCACAGCTCAGAGGAAGGTGCACTGTAGAGGGGGCACACCACCTCTCCCCTCAGAGCTGCTCTGTTTCCAGTAACGTGACTCCAGTTCACCAGGGATGCAGCTGTGGTTTAGGGTGGAGCCTGTGACAATTTTCCTATTGTTCTCAGTTCTCCCCATCTCCGTGTACCTCACCTGGTCCCTGGACTTTATTGGGCCACATGATTTGCTTTGGCCAATAAATGAGGCAGAAGGGATGGGGTACAATGCCTGGCTCAGGGTGTGGGAGACCTTGGATTTTCTCTGGGCTGCTTATACCTCTGCTCTTTTCAGGAGAAGAGTCCACTTAGACTAGCCCACCTGTCCCTGGGCTACAGGAGACGTGCGGAACAGGGATTCCTCAGCCACGTTCAGCCCAGATCAGGCAATGCCCATCCGTCCTGATCACAAGGGAGCCCACGAGACCAGAACCACCCGGTGGAGTCAGCCTAGATAAGCTGCCCCTCGGCAGCTCTGCAGATCCAGAGAACAAACGGTGGCTGTCTCAGCCCACTAAGTCTCAGGGTGCTTTGTTATGCCGCATTCTGGTGGCAGTGGCTGACTGACACAATGTCCCTTTCCCAGTCTGGGCACCTGGGAATATTTGGGCGTTCCTGTCCTTCAGGTGCCTGGGCTTCTCTCCACTGAAGCACAAACCTGGAGACAGTTGGGGGGACACTTCTCTTGTATTCACTGAAGATACCGGGTATTTATGGGATAAACTGCTTTTTAGGCATTTAACAGGTAGTTTACAGCTCACATAGTAAACATAATTTGTGCTTATGAAGGATTTATGGTTGCATTATGGGAAAAGTCTATCTTTGCTAGAAGTAAGTAGGAAAGAATATTGTCCCCAAACAAGCCTCCTGAACAGTAATTTCAATGCGTTTACTCAGAGCAAGTGATCAGATTGTAATAAGCTTTATGTTCAGAGCACGGGGCACATCTGTAAAACTGTCCTCAGTGGGATGGTCTGATTGAGCTGGTTAACACATGGGCCATGTGGGAAGTAATCCCATTCCTGGTGAAGAGCTTTTCAATCATCAAAAGCATCATGAATTCAGAGATTTGGGAGCTCTGGCGTGGAAAAAGAATACACAAAAGTGTTTTATGCACGTTTTGGTCATTGCAGAAGGGCGGAGGCAGGACCGAGTGGGTCAAGAGGGTCACGTCTCCCCCGGCTGGGCAGTGGGAGTCTGACTTCCTGGCTGGCCTAGAACATAGGCAAGTCTGGGCAGTGATTGCTCAGCGGGTGGCCCCCCTGCCCTGGCAGCCCCGGCCGGCATGCTGCTGTCCTGGGGTGAGGGGGCGACATTTCAGAAGTGTTACTCTCCTGTTCCCACTCCAATGGGCAGGTGCAGAGTTTTTCCCACTGCCCCTGACAGTGGGTGCAGCCGTGCGACATGTAATGACCAGTTTCAGACAGATGCCACCACAGTCTAGAAAAGTGGGCCCATGGTTAGTTGTGAGAAGAGCCAGCAGGTCCAGGAGGATGAGTCATGTCAGCTGACCCAGGCCTGTGGGTGGAAGAGGGGCTGCCTGGCTCACCTCACATAGCTTGGCCACCTCTACCCACCTTGGAGGGCGAGCCCCGCTGAGGTCAGCTGAGATCTGCCAGCCTGTGTGCCTCGGCTGCCTCTTCCCTGCTGCCACGCTGAGAGGGCCATCAGCCCCCAGGGTTATGACCAGAGCCAGGCTGCCTGTTTCAGTTCCCAGGCCTGGTTAGCTCCCTGCCCCATGCATGTTAGTGATGCCGGGGTTCTTGTTCACAGAGTCAAAGAATGAACTTTGCAAAAACTCAAGGTAGGAGAACAAGTGAGAGGCATTTATTTAGAGATAAAGTGAGAGGAAAGAGCTCCTGGCTCATGCCGCGAGGAAACAAGAGAGTCAGGGGTGGTGTGTTGTCTAGGGGATTTATAAGTGGTTGAGAGACAAAGGGCTAGTGATGCAGACCTGCTGCATGGTCCCAAAATGTTTATCTTTGAAGAGACATTAAGTTTCTTCTTAGTCTTCCAGGTTATTTACAAGAAATTTACTGCTCTGATTTCCTCCCAGGATGGTAGCTTCTTGGTCTGGGAGCTTATCAATCAAGACTGCCTGCTTTGCTCCCAAGGTGGGCTGAGTTATTGTCTGTTTGTTAAAGAGTATGTTAAGAAACTTATTTTTTAAATAATTGGGTATTAAAATGCAAGTTTATCTTCAAGATGGAATTCTTCTTGTTTTTACTAGGTTGTTTTGGGCCTGCTTGCTAAATTGCCCAGGTTGTGAATCACTTGATTAGGGCTGGAGGAGGAAAAGCAGCACCTGGGTAAAGTAAAAATATAAGCTGGGCCCCCCCAGCAGGCAAAGCAAATCCCACAATGGATCATCTTGCTTTGTTTTTCCCAGAGGCCCCTCACCCTACTCTGTGTAAGCCCACAGTCCCCATCTCATTAGGACCACAGGGGAGAAGGTACAGCCCCTCACAGTCAAGTTCTAGGGCTTCCTGCTTCTGTGCCTTGAATAGTTAGGTAGCCTCTCTGTGACTCGCTGTTCTCCTATGTAAGTAATAATTTATTGGCTTAGTGTGAAGACTGACTGTCTGAATATGTGTGAAGCTTTAGGAGCAACGTGTCCACACATGGGTCTCCAGTGGATGATGGCTGCAGTGACTTGGCTGACACATCGGGAACCCTTTGCCACCGGGCTGACAGGCTGGGTCTCATCTCACAGAGTCCTCTTCACAATCCAAATTCAACAGGATGCTAATTGCTGTTGCACACAAATAAAAGCATTCTGTAATCAAGCATTTAGGGAATCACAGAATTAAACCAAGTCAACGAAGTTGTGCCTTTCATGGGATGAGGAACACCTGTCCAGGAGTGATGGCTGCCAGGGATACGCATCAGGCTTTACAGAGCATTTCTTGTGGCTGGAAAGGGTGAAATAAACTTAGACTCTGCCCTCATGTCCTCCCGCCACTGAGGTAACTGCTTCCCTCAAGTCCCTGCCAGTGAAGTCAGTGGGCAACATGCAACCTGGATAGAGGCCTCACCTCCCGCCACAGGAGCCCAGCAGGCAGCTTGCTTCATTTGACTAGAGGACAGCTCAGAACGTCACTTAGCTCTGGTCTGCCAGGTGTTTATGGACCAGCCCCATCCCCTGGTTAGCACGAGGCTGTGATGTGGAAACTTTGTGCCAGATCGGAGCCCCTCCCATCAGATGGAGTAGCTGCTAGAGCTGAGAGGAAATAGCCTCCTTTGAAACCCTGGACTAGAGGTAAGCCCTGAGTGGCAGCTCTCAGCATGAGATGAGTACACTAAGTCTCCCGGAATGGAAAACATGAATCTCTTTTCCATAGGCTTTTCTCCTGAGGGTGGGTGCTTAGCAAAACAATTTGAAAAATTGAAATTGTGAAGGACAAGCTCTGCTGGTCCACTTCCAGAGAGCTCAGGGCATGGAAAGCCCTCCCAGCCTCCCTCAGAATCCCTGCACAAATCCACCTGCACTGGGAGGTTGTGTTCCCAGTGGCCACTTTCAAAGGCAGAACTTTCTATGCGATAAGGAGCTGCCCACGCTGCCTAAGAACATACACGTGGAGAGCAGCCAGCAGTTCAGTCCTCTGCGATGCTTCCTGGGGGGGCCCTTCATCCTGGGGTCTTTGCTTGGAGCTTGCCAGTCCGGAGGCCTATGCTGGGTGAGCCCTGAGTTCGACTGGGCAGTGGGAGTTGCTGGCACTTGACTTCTTTGAGAAATTCCCTGAACTTTCCACTTTGCTTTTATTTTCTATTTTCAAGAGCTTTATTGAGTTACTATAGACATAAAATAAAAGGTACATAATGATAATGTTGGACATAGGTGTAGCCATGGGGAGCTATCCCCAGAGCCAAAATAATAAGGAGATTCGTTGCCCTGAAACTTCCTTGTTCCCTTTTTTAACCCCTGCCCTCTGCTCTGGCAACCAGTGTTTGGCTATCACTATAAAGCATTTCCATTTTCTAGAATTTTATGTAAGTGGAATCCTACTGTTCATACTTACTCTGTCTGCTTTTACTCAAAGTAACTGTTTTTACATCATCATGTAGTTGTGTGTATCAGGTGCTCATCCTTTTTACTGCTGAGCAGTTCCTTGTATGGATGGACCACAACTTGTTTAGCCATTCAAGTGCTGACAGACATTTAGATTTTTCCAGATTTTGCTCATTACGAATAAAGCTGCTCTGCATATTTGTGCTCACATTTTTGTTCAGACATTTGCTTTCATTTTCCTTGCATGAGAATCTAGGCGTGGACTGACTGGGTCAAATGTATATGTGTGTTTAAGCTTTTTAGAAATTGCCGTGACGTTTTCTGAAATTATTGTACCATTTTCTGAAATTATTGTACATCGCAAGCAGTGCTTAAGAATTCTGGTCGATTCACATTCCTCAACAACACTCTTTATGGTCAGACTTTAACATTTTGGCCATTCTAGTAGGTGCACAGTGGTATTTTTAAACACTTTTTTGTGGTGTGTAATTTACATACCATAACACTGACTTGTTTAAGCATACAATTCAGTTATTTTTAATAAATTTAGACTTCTGCACCATCACTACAATCTAATTTTGGAACATTTCATCTATTATCAACTTTTGGTTTATTTTCATATAAGGTACAAGCTCCTACTGTTTATTTTTTTATATGAATGTGTAATCTTTCCAACACTATTAGTTGAGAAGACTGTATTTACTCAGAGCATTTCTTTCAACCGAATTACTCTATCAACTTTGTGAAGTCATTTTCCATAGTGTCATGGGTCTATTTCTGGATTGTATATTCTGTTCCCTGGATGAATGTTCTTACATTTTCATCAATACTGTGCTCTCTTGATTCCTATAACTTTATATGAATTAAAATTGGGTAGAGCATTTCTCAAACTTTTTTCTTCCTCAGAATTGTCCTAGCTGTTCTACTTCACTCGCCTTTTCATATGAATTTTAGAATCAGCTGTTACTATCTACAAATAAATCCTGCTAGAATTTTTTATTGGATTGCCTTATATTCACAGATTATTTGGAGTGGAATTAATATTCTAACTCCTGAGTCACAAATACTTGAGCATGATGTGTCTCTCCATTTATTTAGATCTTCTTTGATTTGTTTCATCAGTGTTTTGCACAGAATACAGATCCTGTACTTGTTTTATGACCTGTTGTAACTGGATTTCATGGTTCAGATTTTGACTTCCCAAATAAGATCAGTCTCACAGATACTAGAAGAAGGGGAAAAAACAAAAACCATAAAAATCTCATCCTGAATACTTCAAGTTCTGTTTTCCTCCCCATCCATCTTTCAGCATTTCTGTTCCAAGTCCTCCAATAGCTGTGCCATGCACTTCAAGTCCAGGGTTTTAATTACATTTGCTGGGAGAGACAGGTGGTGTGTGTTCACTCCATGTAGCTCAGAGAGCAGAGTTTTGTAAAGAGCTGTGGCTGACACCACTATCCATTGAAAGCCACCCTCCCTCCCAAGACAGGCAGTGGACTCCCTTTCCAAGCCTCCCTTGCATTAGTGTATTAATGTGACCATGTCATATCCAATGGAGTGTGAGCAGAAGGGATGTGTGCATCCCCGCCCCCAGCCTCAGGCTAGACCACAAAAACCTCCCATCCACCTGCTGACTGAGATGGTGATGTCCTCAGAAACCTCACGCTGATGTTGTGTGGACAGCCAAAACACTGGGTCCTCTGTGGCAGAGAATCATCCAGTCAGCCTAAACATCTGCCCTGGAAAGTGTGTGAGAAATAAGTTACTGGATGTTTTGCTTAAAGCACAAAAGATAGAGTGTGCCAGGCAGGGTCCTGCTGAAATATGCTGGGACCCTTTAAGTTACTGGATGTTGGGGGTCTATTTGTCACTCCATCTCAGACTCACCTAATACCTGGAGTATGGACATATTTAACCCAGAAGTACAGAGAACTAGGTGCCTGCCCAAAGAGAGCTGAAAGGACAGATCATGAGGCAGGGATGGTCACAGCCTCCCCTGCCAGAGGGGCAGAGGTGAGGAAGGGGAGAACAGAACGGGGTTTGCAGAGGAGGGGGGAGGGGAGTCTGTGGCTGTTTCCCTCTGATGCCCTCACAGAGGGAAGCCCAGAGTGCCCCTTCTGGACCCATTTGTCGCAACAGCCTTTGCCCCACACTCTCTGGTCCTGTGTCCTTGCAAAGTCACACCCCACATTCCCTGAATGGCTGGGATGACACTGAATGTGGTCCAAGATCCCTGCCTGAACTTCTTCAGGACCTTGAGGCATCTCAACAGGCCAATTAAAATCCAGGAAGATATGAGGTGTCGTATGTGTTCTGATGTGGAGAATGAATGGGTGCCAGGCACAGAGAGGGAGAGATCCTTGATGCCAGGTCAACAGCTTTGGTGTCATCTCCAGCCAGACTGTATTTGCATTTCAGGGGCACTTGGTATAGGCATTCCACAATCATCTGTCTGCTTTTCAAGGACAGATGACAGCAAATGCCCTACTTGTGCCTCCTTCAGACACACTAGGTTAAGTTTGTAGACATTAAGCAGGCTGTGTGAATAGGCATTATCAGGTTTCATCTTCTGTTACAAGCCAGGCTGCATACCCAATCATGAACCAGGCTGACACTCTAGACACTAGCCCAACTACTCACCTGAAGGTATCCAGGGGAGTTCCCAGACATTAGGTAGGCTCAGTCATCAGGTATTTGCCAGACTGGGTCATCTATAACCAACCAGACTAAGTCTCTAAACATTAGCCAACCTCAGCCTGCCAACATTTCTTGGGATCATTTCCCAGTAACTAAGTGAGCTGGCAATTCAGACATCCAGTTCGTTTGTTTCCCCATCACTACCCAGACTAGATCTCTAGATACAAGCCAAACTCAGGCCCTGGACATCAGCCACACATTTGGATAGTGGACAAAACTCCCCTTTGAAAACAAGCCAGGCCTGGCCATGCTAAAGTGCTGGTGCATGGTGCCTGTGTCTGCCAGCGAAGCACTACTGGGGAGCTGGGAAAAGAGATACCAATCCATGTGCCTTCCTGGTGAAAGGTGGGAGAGATGCCAAGTACACAAACAGGTGGCCCCGATCCTCAGGGGAACTTTACAACTCTGTCATAGAGTATTGATTGTTCTAAATTGAGTCTCAGCCTATCAAGGTGTCTGTAGATCCTGGCCCAATCTTCCCTGACAGTTGCTCTACCAGAGTGATTGTGTTTGCTGTGGAAAATTCTTCAAGCTTGGACAGCTTGTACCCAGTCTCACACTCCCATGCAGGGGTAGTAGTGGTGTCTGACCCTGTTTCCCTCTAACCCACGCTCTTTGAATTTGGAAGGACACTTCTACAGACAAATAAACATGACGTAGCCCCAGCATATTTCAGCAGGACCCTGCCTGGCACACTCTATCTTTTGTGCTTTAAGCAAAATGGTTTGAGCTCATCATCACAGTACCCAAAGCTGAGCTCAGCTCCGGACTGAGTCCAGGAGTGTCTCCCTGTGGGGTCATGTGGCCCCTGTGGCAATGCTGCTAAAGCCCCAAGGCCTGGGACTGCTTTCTCATCATGTTTCTTGCTGGATTGTGAGGTGGCGCAGGCAGGGCGTGCGGGGTAAAACACACAGAAATGTAAGAGGTAGTAGTGCCTGGGTGACTTTCGAGTGTATCATTCCTGTCTCCTCCAGGTGCAAGAGACAGAAAACTCAATCCAAACTAGCTAAAGAGAATAGATTTCCTGAGTCATCTAACTGAACAAAGGCAACAGAATAAGGAAAGGTTGGATCTGGGGTCTTAAATGACAGTGTCAGACCCAGTTTTCTTAGTCCATCTTGGGGCTTCATTTTCTGTGTATTAGTTTACAGAACGGCAGCTCCCCCTGCAGGTGGCTGCCCTATGAGCTCATCACAGTACCCAAAGCTGAGCTCAGCTCCGGACTGAGTCCAGGAGTGTCTCCCTGTGGGGTCATGTGGCCCCTGTGGCAATGCTGCTAAAGCCCCAAGGCCTGGGACTGCTTTCTCATCATGTTTCTTGCTGGATTGTGAGGTGGCGCAGGCAGGGCGTGCGGGGTAAAACACACAGAAATGTAAGAGGTAGTAGTGCCTGGGTGACTTTCGAGTGTATCATTCCTGTCTCCTCCAGGTGCAAGAGACAGAAAACTCAATCCAAACTAGCTAAAGAGAATAGATTTCCTGAGTCATCTAACTGAACAAAGGCAACAGAATAAGGAAAGGTTGGATCTGGGGTCTTAAATGACAGTGTCAGACCCAGTTTTCTTAGTCCATCTTGGGGCTTCATTTTCTGTGTATTAGTTTACAGAACGGCAGCTCCCCCTGCAGGTGGCTGCCCTATGAGCTTGGGAAACGGCGGCCCCATATTCCTTTACATAACTGGTCCCCCAACACCCCCCTCCGCCCGGATCCCCTGACCCCGGCAGCTGGCTGTCATAGGAGTTTGGGTAACGGCAGCCCCGTATTCCTTCATATGATGGGGTTCCCCCTGCGGTAGGAATTTGGGTAAGGGCAGCCCCCTCCTCCTTTATATAGCAGGCCTCCCTAACCCCCCAGGTGGCTGCCTCACACCTCCAGGCCTTGCCCCAAGGCTGAGGTTTCCCACCCCCGCCAAAAAGCGCTTGTGCTGGTACTGCCCACGCAGCTCTCGGCACTGTGGCTGGGCCAACAGTCACGTGCACACAATGAACCAATCACGTGAGCCCAGGGCTTGGTTCTGATGGGCCGGTAAGGCAGCGCGCCCTGGCTGGGGTTGCGCCCAGGCCAGCTGGCAGAGGAGGGCCCCGACGCCGCCTGGGAAAACAGCAGCGCGAGAAGCCAGGACACCGCTCGATACTCTCAGGAGGCCCTGAGCCAATTGCACCCACCCGCGAGACACCTGGGTCAAAGGGACTGAGAGCTCCGGGGCTCATCCCCAGGGTTGGGGGGCGTCCCTGAGTTGCCCTTGGAGGGTCTGGTACAGAGTAAGTGCTATGTTTTTATTCATATGATTACTCGATCTCTTCCTTCCCCTGCTGCTGCTTCCAATACTACCACCATCACCATCATCATTACATCACCACCACCCTCATCACCACCACCACCATCACTACCATCACCAACTCACCATCATCACCACTATCAGCACCATTTTACCATTATTGCCACCACCATCACCATCACCACCACCACCACCACCACCACCATACCGCCATCACCATCACCAACATCACCACCACCACCAACATTGTCACCACTGCCACACCACCACTGCCATCATTGTCACCACCACCACCATAGTCACCATCACCACCACCACCATCACCATCACCATCATTGTCACCATCACCACCACCACCACCACTATCATAACCATCACCATCAACATCATTGTCGCCATCACCACGTAATGATGATCCTTACTATCGTTATTTCATCACAAGATTATAAACTCAATGAGAGCAAAGATCTGAACTGCTGGTTCTCTCTGCTCAGTGTTCGGAATAGTGCCTGGCATACAAGTATTTATTGGATGAATGTGGAGTCATTAAATGAATACATGTGCATATACTCCAGTTGCCGTGGAATTCTGCTACAGTGCCAACATTGCATGGAATAGACTGCTGATTGCTGGCATCTGGACATGGTAGGATCGAAAATAAACATCACCTTTCTGCTCACTCTGGATGCTCTTTTAGCCTCACCTGCACTCCCTGCCCCTCTGAGTCACTTGGCGTCTTTTTGTTGCCTCATTGATTAAGTGCCCAGGCCAATTAAATGATGGATTTTGCGTCAATACCATCCTGCCCTGGGAGCGGGCCCTGGCAGGAAAGCTCTCTAAATAAAGACATCTAATGTTGGGTATGTGACCTTGGGCCAAGGGAGGCAGGGGAGGGAGCTTCCTTTTCATTAGCTGAGGCCAGAAGAGGCCAGGCACGAGTGAGGGCTGGGGGCTGGACCTGCACTGCTCTCTGAGTCAGAGAAGCCTG